CTCTCTCTCTCTCTCTCTCTCTCTCTCTCTCTCTCTCTCTCTCTCTCCTCTCTCTCTCCTCTCTCTCTCTCTCTCTCTCTCTCTCTCTCTCTCTCTCTCTCCTCCCTCCCTCCCCTCCCTCCTCCTCCGTCCCTCCCCCCTCTCTCTCCTCCCTCTCCTCTCCCTCCTCTCTCCCTTCTATCCTTTTTACCCCTATATAAAAATAATTGACTCACGATCAAAAAATTTCAAATTTGATCTTAGTCTTATATATATCTTGACTTATATAAAGCAGATCAAGAAAGTAAACGTTTTAAGTGAAGAAGTATGAGATTGTATTGTTTTGGAATTTGTTTTGGAAACAATAAATATATATTTATTACGCATTCGCTTTGTTGAATTTTATGATACATACTTTATTTCCCGCCTTGGTCCTCTCAGCTTGGAATCTGGAAAAGCCGATTGCCGATCCCATAGCATTCTATTGTTAAGCGAGGGTCTGACCTTAACATACTTCATCTTACTTTTGTTGATATTTAGTAGTGCACTTTTCTTAACTCTTCTCTCTCTTGTTCCGCGATTAATGGATAAATAAAGTAACAATGAGTCTCCGTAATATTCGATCAAAGGGGATAAATTTAAACAAGGACTCTGCGATTTCGTGAGAGCACAGACAGCTAGCTGCAATAATTACAAAAAAATTAATAAAGCAACATATACCTGAAAGATTAAGATATAATCTCGATACTAACAGCTATTCGATGCCAAATAACTGAACCAAATGAGGCGTAAAAATACAAAATATTTGATATGGAAAGTGTATGTGAGGCTTCCTGTTGGAAAAATATAAGAGGCTGAATGCTCGCTAACAATTCCACCGACATTATCCTTTTTTTGTGAAAATCCTTGCTCTCCATTTCAGTCTTTATAAGGACATTTTCCAATGTTGGTATGTATCTATTCACACATTTTTGAAGAATTAATTTTTCGTAAACATTTGTAAAGTGTGTAAGATTTTTTTGAATCTCGCATTACTTGTCGGCAATCGACGGCCAACGAAGCATCAGTTTGAGCACGCATTCCTTGAAGAGCACTTCTAAATTTGGATGTATGAAACTTTGACCCAACAGCAATTCCAGCAGTAATTCCGTTAATTTATCCACCTTTGAATAAACAAAAGAATCAAGAAAATCTGCAAACATTCTTGTACATAATTTTATCATTATTGATTACCGAATTAAGATGATAGGGATAGACAGCTTCGCTATTGCTAGCAATAGCGATTATAAGTTGACACGTTCGTGTAGAAACACGTGTATATTGTGCGTTATTTGAGATTACCATAGACCTAGCAATGGACATCAATTTATCTATGATTCCCTCATCGGCTAAATGCGCGTTGGTGAAACAGTCGTTAAGTAATACCTGAGAATATAAAAAAAATGTTGCGTTATTTGGTAATATTAAATTTGTAATATTAATGTTAATATTAAATAGAACATTATATATAAATTTCTACATACCTGAAAGGTTTTTTGAGAGCCATTAAATAAAGTTTTCAACGCACGTTTAGCATAATTATGACGTGCCTCTGTAAGCTTCATATCGCATATTTCAGATTCTGACAAAAAGAAAAAAATATTTCAACATAAAATGTATGAATTAAAACAAATATTTGTAAATAAAATGTGTAAACTTTTAAAGAACTTGCCTTGCAGAAAGGGCACATTACTTTGGGATAAATTCAATGGATCATTTATTTGATTAGCAAGATTGACGACAGACTCGCTAGGAACGTACACCTTTGCTTCTGTGTGATACTCCGGCATGGACTCTGGTGCACCAAAAACTGGATCTGCATCGCATAGGCTGGTGATTACTGCATTCACGTCCATGGACGTTAGGCGTTTTCTTTTACTGTGTCTCAGTCTTGTAACACATTTCTAAAACAAAAATGATTAATATATAAAAATAAAAGAAAAAAAATAAAGTATTATAGAAACTAATTAACATAGTTTTTAAAGTCTTATATCCAATTATTGAATATTTTGTATAATTCTTGAAACATTTAAATTTATACAGAATTATAACAATATTATAAATTATATTCCTAGAGTTCCCAAAAAATATTCTTTCAAATTCTTAATCAAATATGAAATTTGCCTTCCTTGTTTATTCAAGGGAAATAGTTTAGACCACAAAGATTTAAATACCAATACAAATTGTCCTTACATGAAGAACTTCTCTCAAGCGATAAGAAGCATCTTCTGCTAATCGCTTTAAAAGAGGATCTGGCAATGGATGTATGCCTAGTTCCTCGCCAATGGCAGAGATCCATTCAGTACTAAGCATAGCATATTTCCTTGAGTTGTTATCACTTGCAATACTACTTGTACCTGCATCTTTATTATTACTATTCACAAAAGAACTGCTATATCCCATAGCACCTTGATTCGATAATAATTCTTTCATGATTTCTGCTTCTTTTTAAATGTTATTAGAGATGTTATTACATAATAGTTTTATCAAGTTTATTGCATAGGAACACTCTATGATATCTCAATATTAGCTGTAAAATAAAAATAAAAGCAATTCGCAAATTATACAAAATCTAAAAATTATACATATTATAAAAATTATAACTGCATGAGTTATTTTAATTTACCTTCAAAATTTATTGTAATTTAACATGCAACATTATAATATAATCAAAACAAAAGGATTTTTAAGGTTGGATATAAATTATTTGGACTCAATTTTTCTTTCCATTCTTCCACTTGAATTTTTTCTTTACTGAAATTAATTAAAAAATATGAAGCCGATAGATTTATTACAATATATTTTCACATCTGAAATGAAATGAATATATAGATAATACATAAATATATTTAGACATTGGCAACAAAGAGAAACAAAATTAACAAAGATAAATTCAATTACAAATATATTTCCTTTTAATGCACAATGATTTTGTCGAAGCTGTCAACAAGCTCCAATGGGAGATTTCTTGAAGGAATTTCTTGACTGAAAAGTCACGAAATTTCGTATACACATGTATTTTAATTTAATAACAATATCACTTAGAAAGGGAGACGATTATACGTTTTTAAGGTTAGAGTAAAGGTTAGAGAAAAGCCAGTAACTCTCGAACTGACATCTATTAGCAGTTATAGATCCTAATTTTCTTTTTGTAATTTAAAATCCCAAATTCTCAGAGACAGATTCTTAAAAATGGGAAAAATGTTTAGAAATTTAGGAAACTCTTTTCGTGAAACTTCGAAAATCTCGAATTCTCTAATAGTTTAACTAAATTATATTCTTAGATAACTTCCTTTTTCTTTTTTATTTTAATGCTTTATTGATTTTCAAAATTTTACGATCTCAAATCTGAAAAATTCTACAAAAAATATCAAATACTAGTATATTAAAATTATATTAAAATTTCAAATTATTGACACACGACACAAAGTGCAGAAAGTGCAACTGGGAGAATCCACAATTCATTAACTTAACCTTACTCTCGCTCTTGGAGGTTACGTAAAAGCATTTATATTGTTCTAAATAATAGAAGGAACGCGATGGACGCCGTAGATCCGATGGAGGACGATCCGTCCAAGGCGGTTATGCTATTCGGTCGGGACATCAGGAAAATTCCGTGCTTCAAGCAGAGCATGCTATATGGCATCTACGGCGGTATCGCGGCCGGCTTAGCCACCTTCATGTTTACGAGTCGCGGGAAGTTGGCGACGACCGTGGCTCTAGGATGTCAGTGGAGCGTCACCCTGACTTACTGGTGTGCCTGTCGATATAACTACGTGATGCAAAAGTACGAGTTAAACGATGTGAAGAATATTCTTCAAGGATCATCAATCGCCAGTGTAGAAGACAGCAATGTTCTTCAGGAGCAGCAGAAAAAATTGGTCGATGTGTAAGGACACTCTTCCAGTCAAAAAGACTTAAAATTATATGAAACGGATACATTACGTTACATTAACATAAACAGAATCGTGAGATCAACATTATGTATAATTCTGAAAGTTATATTAATATAACTATTTATTATGAAATTATAAATATATAATTATGTTAATATGAATATTATATAAATATTATATAAAATATCTGAAAAAAAATATCTGAAGAACGTTTCTTAATTTTCTGAGCAGATTATGCTTAGCTCTTATTCATATTAGTATGATAGAATTATTATTTTGAGTATCCATATATATATATATATATATATATATAGAAATATTGTAATATTTTATTTTATATTGAGTATGAATTCACAATTTATAAATCTAGCTATTGTATGACTAGTATGCAATTGTATTATACTGCCAAACAATTAAAAAGCTTAAGAAAATGAAATAAATTGTTTTCGAACACTAGATATTTGTAATACTGATGTAAATACACAATGTATAATAAAAGTTACTTTTCAAATATATGTTTGATTTTTCCCCTTGTATTCTACAAGTATGATCATATTAAAATTATTTATATCTTAGTTCAAAGTCATTTATATAAGTCATTCTTCATGAATTGTGAAAATATTTATATCACTATACGCATGATAGAAAATATTGATAGATACAAATATTTTCACAATTTATGAAGAATAATTGACTTGATAATTGTCTATGATACACTTTACATAATATGTCAAGTTTCTATGAACTTCATGATCATTCACATGTAAAATGTAAATAATATGTAAGGTGACCCTCAAAGATTTTCTAAATACGAGTGAAGTCTTTCCTATATTACAGTGTTTTCAAAGTCGCTATTGTAACATAGCGCACAAAACTAGCGCAAATAAAATGTGTAGATTTAATAAAATTAATATTTTAATTCAATTAAAAATCTACGTGTAATAAGGGGTAGTAACGGGGGTGAATTTCAGATTATATAACGATTATAATGTCACAGAACGATATGAGCGATGATGAAACTGGCTTGCAAACGCCACAGGTATTCCTCAGCACAACTTCCCATGGCAGCCGTAATCCAGGTATATAAGAATTATAAAAATTGTTTGCATCGATGCTAACAAGATTATATACGCTTTCGTATATGCGGACTAGTCTGGAAACTTAAGTAGATATTTTTTTCAGACAAATGCCAGCAATTAAATATAATCATAATTGAAATTAAAATATAATTATAAAATTAAAAATATATAATTAATAAATAAAATTAAAATAATAAAATAAAATAAATAGAATTAAAATTCAAATCTGTATAGAATTAAAATTCAAATCTGTTTTCATAAAATACAAATGTTTGAAGTTTAAAGAAACAATTTAAGAATAGTTTGAAATTTTCATTAGGTCTCTCAGAGACTCATGTGTATGCCCTGAGAGTTTATTACAATCTGGATATAATTCAGTAATGAGTGTTTTTTCAAAGTTATGCGTAGCCCGATCAGTCCCTCTTCTTCCGTATCGAGTTCCGTGATATTCGGACAAATTCCCGATGAAGCACTCCGTGCCTGGAGCCAACTACCAGAGGCCATTCGTTTAGACCCAAGTCTAGCGGTCTTTCAGAGAGAATATGATCGGATGGCGGAAACGAGGTAAGCGAAGTAAGCCTGGGATATGATATTTCTATATAACGAGAGATAATGCATTTCCAGATCTCATGATTACGTGAAGAAAGACTGCCTGATTGTAAATATGTCTCTCGGAACACAACCCTTACCGACGCTTAGGTAAACCACGTCTTTACATAAACGGGTCGCGTAAAGAGGAACTTCAATGTGACTCTAAGCACAGACCGAACATAATAATCCTGATATTTTTCCAGCCCGCAAAATCAAAGCAACATCGAAAACGAAGATGGGCAGGATATGCAAACGCAGGAGAAACAGAAACCGTTTCGCCGTTACTTCAAGTTAATCGTGCTCTCCTGCTGTTGGCTACTATTTACAGTAAGGAATCCTTCGATCGACATCATTTAACGAATCTCATGTCGTTACATTTGTTGCAGATAATATTGATGTTTAAGAGCGAAAGGGTTGAAACGATATATCAGCTTTCTGTATCCAGCGAAGAAAATGGCAGTATCCTTCTAATTGATCGAGAAGTTTCAGTTCCAGTTTGAATCGAGAAAGAAACGAAATTTTGTCATAAATTATATAATGATTAAGATCAAGGTACTCGAGTGTCCTTAATGATATGCAGATTATCAAATTAGGGAGCATGTTACAAGCAAGTTGATCGCCGTGACGGTCGAGGGATCATTGTTGCCGTTAGCCAAAGACGAGCAGTATTTATCTACGAATATTTCAAAGCAATACTTGACAGTATGGTTGCAGCTTCTGATGGAGAGCACCGATTCACGATCTTCCTCTACTGATTCGGAGAACTTTAAGGTGTTCCATATAATTAAGTTTAAACGCACATTATGTGCAAAATACATTCCGTGTGTACTCACATTCGCGTGAAAGGAAGTCACAGTCAATCGATTCTGAAACAAAGAAAAAAAGGAAAAGAGATATCAGATCAGATATAAGATTAATAAGCTTTCCATTATTTCAGACATCTTTTTGGTCGTCCTTTTATTCGAAATTTCATAAAAATACTATAGCAATTAAAATTTATATTGCGCACCGTGTTTAGTTTTATTTATTGTACTTGCAACTGTTAGCAGAATGTGAGCGACGTGTGGATCCTGCCGATGTTGCCCGAAAATTTGGTGAATGTCTTCTCCGATCAGAGGCATCAGAGGATATTCCAAGTAAACGTTGACAGCGAGTATGTTACCTCGTATCTTGCTGTTACATTTATCATACTCTCGAATCTTCGTTCTGTTCTTTTCTTGTAGAATCTTGTCACGCGGTACGATGTTCATCAAGCTATCCACGAATTCAGAATCCAGTCGGTCATTCTCAATAGCTTACAATCTATCGCCGTTGAACGCTGACGTCGGCATACCGTATGCCGCTTTCATCTTGATCGGCCTGTACATCCTGATCATTTTCGAGGTGAAGCATGTATTTATTTTAATTTGTCACGAATTAAAGTATCTTTGTACATACTTAATTAAAGCGACAAAGTGTTCGCTTCTATCGATTCTAAATATCTTGCATTTGAATCAGGTTGTACACAGAGCTCTAGCTGCTATGCTGGCATCCACGATGTCCATCGCGATATTGGCGGCTCTAAATGAGGTTTGCATTAATACCTCATCTCTCGTGACACTTTTTAAAAGATCAATTTAAGATACATATTGCCTTGCATTTCAGCGACCAAGCATGGACGAATTGATTTCTTGGATAGACGTGGACACGTTGCTGCTGCTGTTCTCTATGATGGTGCTGGTTGCCATCATTGCCGAAACCGGGGTGTTCGATTGGCTGGCGGTCTACGCCTACAAAGTGAGAAGAAGAAATCGGCCTGAACTGAAGCACAATGCTAAAATTATCATTAATCGCCATTCCTTTTCAGATAACCGCTGGGAGATTGTGGCCACTAATAATGGCCCTCTGCTTCTTCACCGCGTTTTTGTCTTCGTTGTTGGATAACGTGACGACCGTGCTGCTGATGACTCCGGTGACCATCAGACTGTGCGAAGTGATGGAGCTGAACCCAGTGCCGATTTTAACAGCCATGGTGGTTTACTCCAACATCGGAGGTGCTATGACCCCAGTTGGCGATCCGCCGAATGTTATTATCGCTTCTAATCGAGATGTTAGAAACGCTGTGAGTCAAAGTCGCGCTGCATGCTCAAAAATAGGAAGTAATATTCTCAGACGGATTGATAATTAAGATTAATTATAGGAAGTCGATTTCGGAACGTTTTCGTTACACATGAGTATCGGTGTGATAATGGTATTAATTGTGGTCACTGCGCAAATCCGCTACATTTTTCGCGACATCGCGGTGCTCAGATTCGACGAGCCGCAGGACGTACAGGTATTCACTATGAGTTAATACATTCACTAATGTCCATTTCTATCAGTGCAAATTACTACTGTTATCTCGATTTAATTTACTTTTTATTCTTTTTTAGTCTTAAGAATTAAAAAAAGGTAAAGAGAAAACAAATAAATCAAGCGAAGATTTTTAGTGCTCATTAATCTTTCAATTTTTTAATTTAAATATTTCTTGAATTCGTTCAATAAATTCCGAAATTAAAAGATTAATAGCCGCTACAAATTCTCTCTTGAATTATTTTTTTGATAAGGAATAAATTAAAATGAGATTGAATTTACATTGATAGAAATAGACACAAGTTAAATTATGATGTAATCTCGCGTGTATGATCATTCATCCGCAGGAATTGCGACATATGATCGCTATTTGGCAACGAGCGGCAGCGAGTCTGTCCAATTACAGTAAAGACGAGAATTTAGTGAGGGAGACATTGCTGAAGAAAGTCCAGCGTTTATTGTCGCAGTTAAAGAAGAAATTGATCACAGGCAGTACAGCATTAGAAAAATATAAGACTACGCTCGAAGAATTACAGGAAAAGGTAAGCTGGATAATCCTTCGTCCTTCGTGAGCCGTTGTGATGTTTCGATTATTAGTAATAACAGCGTTTTTTTTTATTTTATTGCAATTTTTTTATAAGCATATTTTTTCCAGTATCCTATTAGGGATAAGTGGTTACTGGCAAAATCGGGATGCGTGCTGGCCTTTGTGATCACACTCTTCTTCCTGCATAGTGTGCCTCGTTTAAATCTCTCTCTGGGCTGGATCGCCCTAGTCGGCGTTTTACTGCTTCTGATATTAGCCGACGGCGAGGATTTCGACGGCCTCATGGCGCGCGTCGAATGGAGCACCTTGCTGTTCTTCGCGTCATTGTTTATTCTGATGGAGGTATTTCCCTCTAGAGAAAACTTAAAACTCTTCTTGGACTGAAAAGAATTTATCAGGAAATTTATTAATTATTTATATTTATACTTTATATTTTTTTGAAAAAAAAAATTTCGTAGGCCCTGTCGCGTTTGGGCCTCATCGCGTGGATCGGCAAGCAGACCGAGGACTTCATCCTGTCGGTCAATGAGGAGTCCCGATTGGCAGTTGCCATCCTATTGCTGCTCTGGGTGTCGGCCTTGGCTAGCTGCTTCGTCGACAACGTACCGCTCGCTACCATGATGGTGAGAATCGCGACGAATCTCGCCCAAAATCGCGAGCTCAACCTACCTATGCAACCTCTGATATGGGCATTGACGTTTGGCGCTTGTATGGGAGGTAAGAAGTTTTCTATAAAATCCAACGGTACTTTCGAAAGCTGAATTAATAGCCGCAAAATTCGTTATTGTAAGATCACTGTTCGAGCTCTGTACACCTCACGATGTATACAAAATGTATTGCTATATCGCGCGAATTAATCAGTCATGCCGTGAAAAGCTGACGTTTTCAAGCTGCAATGAGAGCGCCAGTTTTTTTAGTATTCACATGACTAAATAACGGTGCTGTTTAGCTGAAAGTTATGTTTAAAGGAAATGGAACTTTGATTGGAGCTACTGCCAACGTTGTTTGCATGGGCGTCGCGGAGCAACACGGCTACAGATTCAGTTTCATGCGATTCTTTAGGTAAGCCAAAGAAGCCGCGTTTCGTAATTAATGAAAAGCGTCATCGCATTCCAAAGATCTCTTTTCCCATAATTTGCAATTAAAGGATAACGGTGCGTTATCGTCTCTGTTACAGGGTAGGATTTCCTATTATGCTAACAAGTACCATAACAATTATGGTATATCTGATGATTGCCCACGTCGTCTTCGGCTGGAATGGAAAAGTAATGACGACGAATGAAGGTCCAGGAACTGTTTAATATATAAAAAAACAATGGCATTTATGCCTTGCAAGTGTACCTATTATGCAATTTTCTAAAATTAAAATTTTATAAAATATCATATAAAGGAGAAACATAAATCAATATTGACAAAATTATCTTACATTTCTAATGTTTCACATATTTGAGCAATTTCAGGGAAAAAAATCTTTGTAATACAGCAAAATCTTTCTATTTTGAAATCGTCTCCCAAATCTCGTTCTTATATCAATGACACATGCGTAAAACAAAAATTTTATGCGTTTTGTCTTTCATTTACCCTTTTTTTTAGAATGTGTGAATGTAGTCATGTGGTCACGTAGCAATCGAAAAAAGCATCACAAAATAAGAATTTCAATCTATAAGAGGGAGAACAATTTTAAAATGGAAAAGTTCCGCTGTACGTAAAACCAATTGTGTCAATATGTATTACAATTAAGTCTCACTTGCAGTAAATGTTGTTTTCTCAAAAATCCTTTCCGATCACTTGCCTTTAATAACAAAACAAAATTACTATTAATAATATTAAATATCAATATAAAAGATTACAAATTTGGGCAGATCTTAATTGCAAAAAGGTTTAATGATCACATAAAATACATATATATGCTAGACAATTCGTTGAAATATTTTTATTAAAAATGAGGCTCTCTGAGAGAAGAGAAAAAGATCTCAATTCCAAAGATTGCCGCCTGGCAGATCTCGACAAAAAAATCGAATAACTTATCGCAAACTTATATTTATATCCTTCTAATTATATATGACCCACAATTCAGCATAATACAATCATACTTGAATTAAACTGAACGTGAAAACTTACTTCAATATTTCTTACAAAAATAATATTCTAATAATTGACAGTAAATTATATCGTGTGATGCATCGTTAACACGAAATCTATTAAAACTTATTCAAATATAAGCGTGAGCGTTTATGAATTCACCGAACTTGTTTGTGTTCAGCAAACGATATCTAGAATTGTGTGTGCAGAAAAAGAATTTCTTACAAACGGTAAAAAAAAAAAGATTTGCATCTGCTGCAAAAATATTATCGTATTTACAATGAATATAAAGTACTTATAATGTCATGTTAAGAACGATGTCTCTACTTTACTGTAATCCTGTTATCTGTAAGTACTACAGTTTCTTTCTGATGCGTGAAGTCATTTCTTCCACTCGCATAGAATCGTAAAATTTTGTTCACGTGCATCAGACAGAAGCAAGTGAATTTTAAAGCTTCGGTAATTCATTAAAATAAAGTCTAAATATATTCATCGTTTATCATTTTGATTAAAATCATTCCAAATTGTCAAATTGTTTTCCGCTAAAAAAAAAAAAATATTACCGAGATTTTCCTAGAGAAATTGTCACGCGAATGAGCAGTCCCACAGGTATGACGAAAGAGACAATCCGAGAATTTGAGAAAAACTTAATCTTAAACATGACTGATCAATTTTTTACTACACAGTTACACTATAGATTACATTTGTATGAGTCTGATTTTATGCGATTATACAATGCCTTGGTAAAATCATGCCTACGCTTTACCGTAAACAAAAATCAGCATCATTTGCATCTGCATTATCAATATCGAATCGCGAACGAGCTTAACTTAAAGAACCAAAAATGAAATCCAGACACTTAGCGCAGTAAAAAGGCATCCTTCGAACTCGCGTAACTACCTGAGATATCTTATATAGTTTTCAGTCGTTGAAACGCACAGATTTCTATATAACACTGCTGGACTACTTAATACTCGGATATACCGCCAGAAAACACACACGAGCAAAAGCTAGCTGACCAAGTGTACCCCAGTTCAAGAATGAATAAAAAAATTCGAGTTCCGATTGGGAGAAACCGGTACACACGTCTATCAATTGAAACGTTATATACATCAATTATACGTAAAATATTTTTTAAAAAGGTCAAAAAATAATACAAAAGCGAGCCGACAAAAACTACAACGAACACTGGGATGAGATATGTAGTATCGCGTATGTTTTTCCGAGCGGTGTAGCAGTCTTATATATTTGATATTCTAACGGTACAAAAAGAAAAAAAAAAAAACGACACACATTCACATTAATGTAAGATAACGTCGAAAGCAACATCTAGAAATGCAGCCGATATTAAATATCGTCCTGTTATCGCGATTAGCTTTTGATCTTTCGAATAGTGATACGCGAAAAGAAGAAAAGGAAACAAGACTGAGTTTTAGTTATTCTAGATGATGCTTCTGGTGTTATCGTTCCAAAGAAACGATGGAAGAAGCAAATTCTTACATTAATTGTTACAACAAACCATGCAATATTAGTAGCACTTGTGGAATGCCTGTCACGAGATTGGTTTGTATATGTGCCGAGGCGCGTATTAACAAGCGTATGACAATTCTTCTGTTATCCGGAAATACTTCATCGAGAAATAACCACGCGCATATTTACACCCCTCCCAAAGAAATATGCGTGCACGCAAAATAACGAAAGATCCTGTGGAGAATAAGTACAAGTTATCTAACTGATTCGTGAGTGATGTGTTAGTGCGAATCGTAATTTGCGTGATTTACGTTGAATTTCTCGATCTGAAAGATGACTGTGAAAGTAACACGCGACAAACTGCTGCAAAAATTATCGTCACATTCATTTACCGGCAATGAGGTAACTAGGTGATGCATTGGAATCAGATGGCAAGTATATGCGAATAAGGTGTAACAAATAAAGTGTAAAACCTTCCTTAAAAACCTAATAAGACTCAAAGAAGTCTCGAGATCTAAAAGTAATATTATATGCAGTAATTTACCAGAAATAGAACGTTTAAATAGCCCGTTTAGATTTGAAATGTTAAAAACGTTAAAAAAAACAACAAAATATCACTTGAACTTTTTCATTTCCTTTAAAAGATATTTTAATCGTTTCAATATTTCATATAAATTAAACAAAATAATTATATATTTTAATATTACCAATTAAAATATGTAAGAGATGAATATATGCTTCTTTTTATGAAATAAAATAAAATTAAAAAGTTTGAAAATAATCAGAAAATAATTTTTCATCACATTTATGTCTTAAAATCATACAAATCGTGTTTATAATGAATAGCTTCAAATCTAAACAGATTATTTAGATGTGACTATTCCTGATAGATCGATTGATATATTTTTAAATAATATGTAGAAATACGATACATACATATACATATACATTCATACGTAAATATGTATGTACACTGAGAAAAAGATGGTTAACTTGACCAAATTTTTCAACTTAAAGTTAAATATATAAATATTTGAACTGAACAAATATAATTAAGTTAAAAAATTTGGTCAGTTTAACCATCTTTTTTTTCTTGTGTATATATATATGCACATATGTATATAAAATGTCATATATTTATTCACATGTATGTATATATACGTATGTATGTATGTACAACAGTTTCCATACATATCGATAGTTCTCTCTCTCTCTTTCTCTCACTCATTCGCTCATACATTTGCTAAAGTAAAAAATTACTAATTCGATGAAATATCACCAAATACGGGATATAACATCCAAAACATATTTGGTTTATTTGCAAAGAAATTGTTCAATATTTTCACAACTTAACCCTTTACACTCAGATTTATATTGTCGCGAACATTAAGAGATTAGTCAAAAATATCAACAAAAATCAATAAAAATTTTATCAAATATGATTTCAGTAAGTATTAATATAATAAATATCTTTATGCATTAAGTGAGAAATATAATAAAAATTTAATAACGGATTTAATAACAGAATTTTATATTTGCTATCAATTTATTGAGTGGAAAGGATTAAAGATGATGAAAAGGCGTTCATGGCTATGTATTTGTTTTACTTCATAACATATTATTACGAATACAGGGAATATGCGCGTTTCGAATCGTTGTTACACTTACAGATCATCAATGCAAAAATGTCTTTCTCTAAAGATTTTCATTCTAATAATATCATAATGTACGGAATATACATAAACATGACACAAAATTTAATGCAGAAATGAACAGTAACTTTTAGTCACACGTTTACAGATACGACGAAAAAAGAATATATGATATAGACATCTCTTTTAATCGATAGATTAATGCAGCTTGGAACTTAACATTTATATCGTACGCGCGATAAATCTTCCATAAAAGTCTCGTGATAATCTTTTAAAGCGGACATTTCTTGCGATGACAAAATATATGTAAAAAAAAAATTAAGTGTATCGCAAAGCTACGCTTCACGAGAGATTAGATCATCTTATATAAAACTATAAGATTCCATTCGAGCGATTCAGTGTACAGTGCGTTTATGATAAACCTGCAATTACATTTACGCTATGGCAATGTAACCCGTCACGATTGTAATTATGAACAACTTCGATCGCAGACATCGTTTCTTGTCTTTTTTTTTTTCTTAGATGAAGTATCCCACGACCTATATTCTTTTTGCGTTATACATTCAGATATATATATATACAATTTACCTACAGAAACATAATCGACCGATGAGTAATATGCTTCAATTCAAATAACTCAATCAAAGAACTAAAACGTCTCGATACGGATTTACACAGGACTGAAATGTACGTGATAATAGCTAATATTCATAAAAAAGTTGTACTTTCTCATGTGTTGTGTCATGCTAACGAAATAAAGACACGATTAAAACAAGCGCAAGAGACATCTGAATAACAGGTAATGCCACAGAGTGCCCTACAACATATGCCCCTAATTATTGCTCTTTGCACTTCTCAAAATGTTCGAAACGTCGCTGTTTTTCTTCCTATTCTAAAAACTCGTGTAAAAGTCGCTTGATATCGAAACCCAACCAAGCCAACGACGCAGCTTAGTAAAATATGCCTGTCTTCGAGTACTTGGGAGTGGATTCTAAATCATCTCAATTCGAATTAAAACAAATGGGATATCGCAACGCGCGATCATTCCCGTTTTTCCCCATCTTTATTATAAGTTATCGTTTCACGGATTTATGTCAAGATTTCGTAAAATAGTGATGCCTATGCTATAGTGACGAGACTGTATATTGTCATTAAAAATATTATATTTTCACGTGGGTATATTTGGCAAGCATGCACGTTGATCTGGAAGATCTTTTCTTTTCCTTTTCTTAAAGGACGACCGAATCAAAATCGTGAACAACTAATGAGAACAATTAATGCCAACTACGAGAGGACGGCTCGCAGTCTTTTCCAACGCGTTTCCCACTGAGATTTATTCCTTACAGAATCAAACGCGAATCCAGGACTGACGATACTTTTGTTTGAATAAGCAACATTGCTGTGGCTAAAGTCTGAATTGAGATTGGCCAGGTCGACGGTACTTAAAATTCGTACGGCGGACGATAATCGAAGCTTACTGGTTGGGGAACTAAATACCAGTTTGCGATCTTGCTTACTGCTGTTGCTGGTGTCTCCAATACTGCTACAACTATTACGATCGTTTTGTAATTGTTTTACTTTGCGGGAATACTCGGCGAGAAACGATTTCGCCATAGATCATTGTCGATACGCCTGCGGTGATATACCGTTCCCAGGAGTCACGTAGTCACCGATCATCAGGCTGGGATTCACTGGATAATGAGAAGTGTTGCCGAGGACCAGCGATTGCTGGAAAGTAACACCAAGCTGTAGCGCGAAAGTCACGCAAGCAGACGTATTGCTTTAGTTTCCGTCTCTCACGTAAATTTTATTAAATGTATAGCAAACTCTGTGTATACATGGATATATATACATATATATATATTACAACAATGTTTAAGCAGGGCATCTATTTCATGCTTGTGTGATTTCGTCCAAAATATTTCTAGATAAAAAACATTTTTTTATCGCTTTGATTCAAAATGTAAAAATGCAAACTTGTACTTACAGTGGCAGGTGATGTAAACATGTTCGGAGTTATTCCACCACCTATCAATTGTGCTGCCTGCGTGCTTGTTGCTGTACCTCCCACGCGACCTCGTCCTGTACTCGAGATGGAACCTGGATGTATATTTGGTTGTCCTCCTGTGGCATAAAAATTCGTACGTTTCGTTTATATGTACAAACAAAATAATAAGACAAGACAATAAGATTTAAAGATGTAAAATAATATTCTAGTAATATATTATTCATTTTTTCTGCTTTTTTTATTGAATAAAAAAGATCATTTATAAAAATAAAGATAAGTAGTTGCATGTTTGGATGTAAAAACGTCGTTATTACAATCCTACGTTATTACATCGTAATGAAAATATATTTTAATTTTATGCAGAATGCGATCAGAGAAATGCATTTATGATTTTATAAAAACATATTCACTCAAATTGCAATATTACATTAATCATTAGCGATAGTAAATAATAAAAAAAAATGCTGATTTTATTATTTCATAGATTTACTACTTCTTGTTATAGGAAATAAATAGAATAATTGTAATTAATATCTAAACGTTTTGGAAAGGAAAAAAATATAAACTTATTTATATGGGATATTAGAGAATACAGTTAAATATTTATAAATCTGTGCTACTAAAAACAAGTTTATTTACATGAGTTATAGATTCCACAAAATATTTATAAATTAGAAGAATCGCAAGGAACTTTTTCTTCTTTGTACAAATGTCTTCCATGATGTAGAATAACAGAATGAGTCCAAGTACCAGTACAATAAAAAGGTTCGACAATAATTTGATTTGATATTTATGTAATCAACAATTAATCTGTAATTATAACAATATCAGTATCTGAACATCAAAAGTAACTTATGTTCGATATTATCCATCTAAATATTTTACCAATTATAATTGTAATTAGCGTCCACAAGAATTTGTATATATACGTAAAGAAAAATTTCCTGTTTAAAAAAATTGTTAATAATCTTCAAATTATTTTTGTACAGTACAACACAAAAAATTCAATAAAATGTTTTCGGAATTGCTATATATCATGCTAATATTCTTGTTTAATTATACGTTTACATGGAAGGGGCCAATAAAAGACTTTAGTTAAACAGAATAAAACATGGGAGAGGATTATAATGTTCTTATATAATTTGTAAGATGCGCTATGATAAAAAACATATTATGGAAAAACAGTAGACAAAGAGAATATACTTATTTTGAGCAATATACTGGAATTTAGAATGTCTCGGATTATAATATTGTTCATTATAACTGACAGAAATGTTTTATATTTAGATATTTTAGGTTTTAAATATTGCATTATATAGTGAATATAGAATGCAGACCGAGAAGAGGCCGTTTAATGACCATGTTGACATCTTTCGTACATTCTGCTACACAGAATTTCGTAAATTTTTACGTTTTACATAAAAATTAGATATTGAGGAATTAAAACCTCTGAAGCGCGATGCATGTGGCAAGGCCACTAATTATAGATATTATATACATAATTAATACATATAATGATACACTGAGGAGTCAAACCAAACCTTACCTATTGCCAGCAAATTATTTGGATTTACGGTCGCACTCGTATCCATCGAGACTTCGCCGAGACCGTTAACCGACATTCCGTTGACCATATTTACTGCTTGTCGAGCACCCTGCGCATCCAGAGTCGTCCAGTAGGATTCACTGGGAGAAGTATTATTCAAGCCGGGAGGCGGCTGTGCCGCAGCACCTGTGTATCGGAAGTAAGGATTTTTCAAATCTAAGGTATTATTACTGCTTTCTAGATTCGTTCCTTCAAGCTTCAGTTCTATTGTTACATCATAGGATTGTCTGAAACAAATATATTATATAGACATATAAAACAATGATAAATAATAGAGAAATATATCTATGATCAAGCAAACTTGGAGCCAAAAACGATTCCAAAGTTAGGATTATGAATAAATACATGTGTTCTCTTACCTTTTATTTGCTATAAGAATGACTTTTCCAGAGAGTAACTGTCCACTTTTACAAAACAATGGATTTTCTAAGAGGCAGCGAACTTGATACCAATGTGTAAGAGGTTCTGTAGGAGCTGTACTTAACCAAACCTGTTGCGTTGATCCGATAAATGCTACATCAAACCAAAAAGCTAAACCATGGCATGTACCACTCTCCAGTATATGAAAATCGACATCTATTTCTAAAAGAGATTTTATTTGCAGTATGTTAGTAATGTTATATTCATATTTAACACATTGCAACAATTCTTGATCTCTTCATTCCTATTTTATGTAAATACCGTACCTATTTTATGTAAATCAGTCTCATCAGCTGTTTGGAAGTCTACTATGTGCCTTACAGATTTTGCCATACATATTCTAATATCAAAAGTATCGACAATTGGTTGTCTAAAATATTCTTTAATGGCGTTATTTCTCATGGCGGAAAGATCTACTCCGTGGAAACATGTCTGATACCAAAATTGGCCTTATTGAATTGTTCCATGTAAAGATTTTCATCAGAAAAAGGTGCGATATGCAAATCACCTCTGGAGGGAAACATTCTTCCACCTGTACATATAGAAATAATTTAATTATAAAAAAAAGGAAAGAGGAAAGAGAAGCTAAATAAAAAACATAGATTGTTTTCTTGGGATATTTACCTGGAACCAACCACTTTTTCGCATGCAGATAAGTTTCAAGCATTCTCTCGTTATACAACATGTATCCCATAGGCTCACTCACTATACAATCTACATGTTCGGGTAAATCGATCTCTTCTATCTTGCCAGCTATGACTATTATTTTATCTGATAAATTATTAGCAGCAACTAGAAGCTCGGCATGATTTGCCATATTGCTCGCTTCCACAGCATATACTTTTTTCGCACCAGCTTGAATAGCAAAGAATGATAATATACCAGAACCAGCGCCCACATCTAGTACTACCTTATCTTTAAAATCAGACAGGTTTCCAAGAATTGCTCGCTGGTATGTACTAGTTCTAATATAATCCTGCATCATGTTTTGTTGCTGCGAGAGATAACCATAAAATTGGAAATACTGCATCGCCGAGGATTCCTCTGTTCTTTCGTTAAATGCTGATACGCCTTTCCCCATCTTGAGTTTTACTATGTGCGAATGAAAATTGCGGAAATCTGTAGACAAAACATGTGTTAAAATTCCATTTTGTATAGATATATATTTTTTTAATATGAAAATAAAAATATATGCTTGTGATTTTTATCATATATCTACAATAGATGTAATAAGCCTATAATCTTACTTAATCTTTTAGGCTACAAATAAAATTACTAACTCACCTGTTTCATTAGCAAATGTAATGAGTAAGCTATCTGTATCAAGTGTAAAAACATAACTTCGAGATGATACACGAGAGCATTCGGTACTGGGAGTCACTGGGAATTCCAATAGAGTCGCCTTCTCTCTGCTGCTAACATCTCCTAGAATAAGCATTGAAAATATTAAATCTCAGCATTGAAAATATTAAATTACTCGCATCTTGTTTTATGCATTCAAGAGAGAATACAAAGTAAAAAAAAATGCAATCGCATATATATACTATTAAATAAAAAAAGTCACAAAGATTATCTAGGTAATGTACACTTCTGTGATTAAAGCGATGTAAAATAACAGTTTCAGATCAATAACTTCCTATATTTCAAGTGTCATCTTCTACCTCCTTTAATAGGTAGATAATAACAAGGTAACCTTTCCGGCGTGAAGTTTAACAATAGCGTCGGTATCGCGTGTCATGCAAACAATAGAATTCGACTGGAATCATTGCAACGATTCACTATCGGAGTTTCTTCGTCGATACAACAAATGACGAGAGGCCGATACACAGGACTTGTTACAATAGCAGAGCCGAGAAATAAGCGGGAAGGAAAACAGAGAAAGACGGAAATTACGGGGGAGGAAGGGAAGGACGCGTATCGGTAAAGGACGATATCGTGATATCGACCGGCGATCGCGATCGCGATCGCAATCGCGGGGTTGATCCTCGGAGTTCCGCGTGGGTTTTTCGCGAGGAAGGAGAGCTCGACAAGAACGCGACGAGAAAATGTGGTTATGTTGTCCGGGGCACCGCGATCGGTCGCGTGATCGATCAGCCGCGTCGCCGTCGGCCGCGCGTCGGCGACGATCGACGGTGTCGATGAGCCGCGCAAACGGCGGCATCGCCGCGTCCGTACCTGAGATGAGCTCGACGCTGAGACCCTGCGGGTCGTAATTGATACTGAGGGCGACCGGTTTGTTGTACTTCGGCGTGGTCTGTCCATTGTTTGACAGAGTCGAGACCGTCACCGCGCGAAACGTCTTCGCCATTTTTCGCTACACCGCGTGCCAGCGCTTCCCGACGCTGTTCCTCTCTCTCTCTCTCTCTCTCTCTCTCTCCTCCTCCTCCTCCTCCTCTCTCCTCTCTCTCTCTCTCTCTCTCTCTCTCTCTCTCTCTCCCTCCCCCTTTCCGTCTCCTTCGCACTCTTCTCCTCGCCGCGCTCTCCTACTCCTTCTCCTCTTGTGCTCCTGCCGGTGGCTCGTAACGCACCACGTTACGCCGCCGCTCCTCTCTCACGCCTGCCGCACCACTCGCGTGAGAAACAAAAGCCCACCGCCGTCGTCGCCGTCGCCGTCGTCGTGAATACGTGCACCTCGAATAGAAGAGAGAGACCCAACCCCCGGCCAGGGCCGTCGCTGCGCTGGGCTGCGCCGTTGCGAAATCGCGCCGATTCTCGCCGCTCGCGCCCCTTCGTCACCGGACGCCGCGAGGTGCCGCGAGAATTCGCCCGCACCGCCGCCTCCTCCACCGCCGCCACCCTGGACTCATCGGATATGTAGACGTGCAAATTCTACCAACCACGGCCGTCTCGTCACCATTTTCGCCATCCTTGCCATTCGAACGACGCGATTCCCGCCAGTTTACGCTAATCAGGGGCTACCGAGAAATGAATCTAACGACTCAATTATCAATATTGTTATCATGATGTTTTGACTAGAGTCTGTTAAGTCGACCAATCATCGATTGAATTCCCTACGGCCCTGCAGAACAGCTGTTTTTAATGGAAATATTGGTCTCGGAATTATTATGCATGATTTATGTCATCCGAAGTAATTCCTGATATTCGTCAGATGTAAAAAAATTAAATTAAAAACGCGACCTACCACCCCTTTACATCTCTCACGGTTTCATTTTATAATCCTGAAACGTGAAATAATCGCGGAATGAAATCTCCGCGATTATTTATGCGAACGGAAATATCCATGGACTCCTCGTGCAAATATAAAAACGCAAAAAGAGAGATCCTTTTTATTCTGAGTAATTACCGCCGCCATTATCGATAACTATCGCGATTCCGGGTACGGATAAAGCTGCAGGTGCATATAACTCGCGGAATGCGAAAGACGCCGATGACTATCTTTGTGTGCGCGTGGCGGTGCCGCGGCGATAGCGCCCGGTGAATCGAACGCGGGGCCGTTCGTTATCGTTGCATCCGCCTGGCGTACTACACGAGTGCCGCGCTGATAAGCCTCGAAAATCGAGGGTTCGCACACGCTCGACCGATCAAAACAACTTTCTAAATGCGGCCGCGTTGCGCCTTGCCTCAGACCCGGACGGCTTATTACAAAGCGGGGGCGTTTGACTCCGCAGCTACGTACAAAGAACAAGCGCGATCCACAGAAGCTCGCCGATGATCCTTATCCGGCGATTTCTATCCGATATTTCCCGAAGTGGCTTAAACCAGCCTCGGCCGAATCTAAAATTCGTGTCAGAATTCACAGGACGGAATTCTATTTATAATTTCATGCGCCGTATAACGTAGAAAGTATTTCAGGTATTGGGACATGGTGCTGAAATATATATATATAAAATAATGAAACGTATATTGAAGTATATAAAAAAATGTGTGTAAATATGGCACAAAATGAATGTTAAAATAGAGCGTACGAAAATATCGGACATCTGAAGCTATGAATAGAATTCTATCCTGAAATCTAAAGCGAATTATGCAGACCGTTTAAAGTAGGTTGATGATAATCGCCAGTGACTAATGATGCAATATTAATCTTATAGAATTCGATTTCGAGATTTAAAGCGAATTTTATATAAATGCTAAAATATCAAAAATTTTTGCAATATTAAAATCATGCTTAAATGTCCTACATAATAATTCTGATGGCTCATCAAAATTATTTTCTATATCTAGACAAATTTTTAAGTACTTCAGCAAAATCCATTCCGTGTAGACTGACAGTAGTCATCAATGACAATCAGTGATGCGATACCAACGTATAGAATTTTATTCCGAAATCTAAAGCGAATTATATATATTATATATTACATACCACACACACATTATATATATATGCAGAGATCGTTTAAAGTAGGCTAACGATAGTTGCCAATGACCGGCGATGCAACACTAATGTATTGATTTACATATAAAATACGTTCAATTGTATTTGGGGTGAGTCATGTGCCGATTGGAAAACCAACACTAGAAATATACAAGGGATTATATTTATCCATTTCATATCATCGTTATCTCTTTCGCAAAATGATTAATGGCGAATGAGAGAATCTTGAACGCTTCAACATTTTTTCTCTCCAACATTTTTAGCATTCACAACCCGATATGATCAGGCAAAAATTAAAATTTTCCAATATCTTCCTTCTTTCAAGGAACTTTGTAAGAAATAAAAACTGTTTATCTACTTTGATTAAGGAAATTTCGTAAAGAATAAAACACAGTTCTCTAATGGCATTGTTTCGGGATTTGGAGGGATAACGCGGGGAGGATTTAGCCTCGGCGGAGCTTCGCCTCTAATGGAACACCTCCGCGTATACTAAACTTAGGACTAAAGGGCTAAGGTAGAGCGGTCCGTGAGCGGACGAAGGGTCAGGAGCAGCTCTTTCGATCAGCCAGCCGCGGCGAACGGGCCGGCCGAAATGTCGGGCGCGGGCGTATGTGTGCATACGTGTGTTTATGTGTGCGCCCGATCGTATATATCTGCCTGGCTGCGCGGCGCCTTTGCCACCCAGGGTACATGCGCGAATTTCGCGTGCCGCAGCATGGGACGGCGGTGAATTTGCCCCCCCTACTTTTCCCGGACGCACCAGCAACAGCAGCAGCAGCAGCAGCAGCAGCAGTAGCAGTAGCAGTAGCAGCAGCAGCGGAAGCAGTGGTGTCCCCTGGCAGCGCGCTTCCCTCCGCAGTGTGGTGGCTGTCGTGGTTGCCGATCGGCGGCTGACTGAACGGCGAAAGGCGGACGACGAGCGGACCTCGTTACTATGGTGAGTATTGTAATCATCGTCGCTGTGAATCATCGTCGTGAAAAATCCCGCGAGGAGGACCTCAACCGGACCTCCGTCACCGTCGCCGCAGCGAGGACGATCATCCCCGAGGCAGAACTCCGTCGTGCTCGCCGGAAAACGCGAATCTCGCTCATGGATATCGTCGCGATTTTCTTTTGCGCGCGTCGCGACGACAGGGAGAGGGTGCATGCCATCTGGTCTACGAACGAATTAAAGGAACATCTGCTTGCGATTAACGCGCGCGGGGAGACCGTCCGGCGCGGTGCGGATTCGCGCGCTGCGTTTCGCAGAAACGGAACGTTCGTGTCGCTTTCGGTTTGTTTTATCTCGTTTCGCGAAAATTGTTTTACTCTCAATTGTTTAAAGTAGAGAATTGGATTCGACCGTACAATGTCGCAGATCGAATTTCGTTCGCACTTATCTCGATATTCAATTTAAATGGAACTCCTGGTATCCTGTCGCGCGAAGAGGATCTTAGGAGGATCCAAGGGAAGATAGAAGAGCGCTGACGTCTTGCGATCCACGGTTGATTAATTCCGACAGATTGCCGGGATTAATCTGGATTAATGATCCAGTGGCTTAACCTCAACCACTTCGGGCCACAAGAGCGAGCTGCCCCCAGTTAAATATTCGTGTCGCTTGAATTCGGGAGAGTAGAGCCCGGCACGAGGACCGACGGGGGGGTGGCTGAAGTGTTTGGCGATCGTATTTGGTATCAACGCGCGTTAGGGGTATTCTTAATATCTATCCAAATCCACCGTTTGCGGTGGTGAATGGTCTTCGACCGCGACCGTAGCGCTATCTTTATGCGATGTCGATTACTGAGAGCGGGGTTGCTATCGGGGATAGTTGATATCGGAAGGTCAATAAAGGAAGTGGAAATGTATTTAGCCAGCTTAACTTATTGGGAAGTCCTGGGAGGGGAGCCGGTAAGGACATTGGCCAGGGTGTTTTAAGGAGGACGAGACTCAGGGGGGATAAATCGCTGTCGAACGCGGCGATTTGGTTCACTCGAGAGTAAGGATTTACGGGAGACAGATAGGGGGGAGTTAGGCGAGAGAGTTTCCCTCAAGTCGAGAGTGAGATCTCTTTCTATAGTCGCAATTAGCAAAGAGTAGAGATTGATCGTTTCTCGTTTGCGACGAGCGGTAGAGTAGGTCGTCGCGGAATCTAGGAAAGGGGTATTCCCCGAGGAAATTGCAAGAATTACACAAGAAGATAATCTGACATTTCGCAGAGGGATATTGACGAGAGTGATTGGATCGGATCGAAGAAAGTAAATTACAAAAAAAAAAAAAAAAAAATACGAATAGGCGTGATAGACGCGTTTCTGTCCTGTCGTGTACACACAAAGTAAATATGCATTCTATCGTTATCAATCCGATCTGTTATCAGACTGTTATCTGTTATCCAGACTTTGATTCCGTAGAAATCTTTCTATCTCGATAAACATCGTTCAACGCGATTCGATACGTTTTTATTAATACTTCTCACGGTTTTCTTTATTTTTATTATATTTTTTTTTTTATACAAGAGATAACAACGCGAGGAAAAGACTCGATCGATCAAACGTGCTCACGCAGATAAACGGACGCAATCGACCACGACCTTCGCATATCGATCGTAGATGTGGCTTATCCGAGCACACATTTCCGGGCAACACGCCAACTGTTTCTTATTGATAATCCCACGTAATCTTCACATCGCGTCCCTTCCCGCGAGATCGGTCACGGAAGGTCTCTCTGTCGAGAGATGGCAGGCGAGATACCCGATTTACAACATTATACATCATACGTTGGTATTATAAGTCACGATCAATATGACCGGCGGGAGGAGAGACGGGCGGAAATGGATGGAGAACGGCAGCGAAAGAGAGAGAAAGAGAGCTGGGAGGGTTGGGAGGGAAAGGGAGACACATGGACGCCGTGAGCGGAATCCAAGGGGATGCACCTACAACCTACTCTGGCCGGTTCGAAGGCGACGGATGGAGAAAAGTTTCATTAAAAGGCGCTATTTTGTTTAGGTAGACCGGTAGGCAGCCGCTCTTTCAATCGATAACGCGCATAAACGTGTTTAAAGCAAGTTCCGCCTATTCAAGCATACCGAAGTTCCTTCCATTCAGCTATCCTAATCGCGCCACCATCCGCTCCTTTCATTACCGCCGTTCTCTTTCGCCGTCCCGACTCCACATTGTTTCTCTAATTTTATTTAATTATTATGTCGCCACACTTAATCGCTTTTACTTTGTACGACCCGTGATTTAATCGCCCGAGAGTTACCAGTATGTTTACACACCATGATTACGTACGATTTCGTGTTTATACTAGATTATAGCGCAGAAAGTTTTTCCATTAAGCTTTGAAATACAGTTAAAAATCGAGATTTTTGGAAAAAAAAAAAAATTAAAAAACTTCTCTTTGGACGAAAAAGTATATTGAAAGTAATTTTATCTCGAGTTCGTTGAAATTTTTGAAACTTGACAAATAAACTTTTTGCACCAATCTAAAGGGCTATAACGCCACGTTTCTGCTTCGTCTCGTGTTCGCGTTCTCTCTTCGTTTCATTGACTGCTGGCTAATGTATTTTACTTATTTGTTGCGCGCAATAAAGATATTGCTACTCTTATTTTGCCGCTCGCGCGAAAAATTCTGTCGACGCCCATGGACGGCTATAGGTAAGAGGTATCGAAGGGAGGTAAAGGGAAGGTATCAAAACCGAAAGGGAGAGAGGGAAAGAGAAGGAGAGAATCACATGGTGTCTGCCGAGTGTTGGTATCGACCAGACAACGGGGTGGCCGTGTGCCCTCCAAATCAAAAGGGCGCTATAAGAGACAACAAGGCTGCACATACGCCGGTGTCGGCGGAAAAAAACTTCTTATTAGTTGCCTACTTCTACCCCTCCTCATCCTCTGATATCAAAAGTTACGTTACAAATTACGCGATCTCCCGAGATTGCATCCTCTCCCTCCTCTGTCTCCCAGAGAATCTCGTCTGGACCGGCAACGTGCTCGGAAAGCAAATGCGGAATCGAGGGGTAGCTTGCGCAAATATCCGTCGTTCGCCATGAAATTCGCCCGACTTGAATGCGAATCGATCAAACTTCCCCGCGTCATGTCCCTCCCCCCGTCGTCTGCGGTGCGATCGTTGTTTACATAGCGGGGGATTATCTGTGGAAGGAAAAAAAAAAATAAAAGAACCGGTATCTAGGTGGTATTGAAATGTCGCGTTGTACTCGCGTGATTTTTATTCGCGGACCAGAACCCCCTGCTCTATAGCCCCCGGGTATATATGTAGTGTGTCCCGGAAACGTGTCGACGGTGCTTCGCCAACTGGCACCAAAACTTTCTTACGGACGATTATCTAAGACGTTTATATTTCATTTTAATCTTTCGAATACGTGGTGAATGAGGATATCCCGATCCGGGTGATTGCATCCTCGTTTGTTAACGTTGTTACGTAAATCACCACCGTGATGTGCGCGTCACAACGGCACAACGTTTGATATAGTAACATCAAGTACTTGCCAGCCACTCGAGTTCGAGCGCGGTAATACTGGAAATTTTAATGAAATTAAGCCGTCAAGTTGGGCCACCCTTTGCGACGAGGTTGCTAATGTTTAATCGATCGATCGCGAGTGGAAAAGTTGATTCTATTCAGCTAATTACTTATTCGGGTCATATCGGTAAGAATTCGATTGCCGAACGATAACTCGGCACCTCATCAGGAACACGGGGCTTCTCGTCCTTCGCCGTCGAGCATTACTTTATTTTTCCTATTATTGATCATTATACAACCAGATATACATTGTGTGCGTCGCTCCTTCCTCCTCCCCGTCCCTCTCTTTCTCTTGTCAATTCTTGTCGGTAATCGCGAGCACGTGCTGCCATGCACGGTATCGTATCGTTTTCGTCGCTAGCGTAAGCTTACGAGGCACGGCAAATGCAAGTTACAACGTTATCCGATAACGCCGTAAATGCAAAACGCGAGTGAATATATTTGTCGTGGCACGTCGCGCATTTACGACACTAATTGGAGGATTAATAATTCGAGGTTTTCATGAATTTTTCCAGCGCGCGACTTACTCCTCTCCCTCCCTCCCCCACCCCCGTCACCGAATTCTGGCGGATTAACCGCGTTGCATCTAATCGCATTCCGTGTGATCAAAATTGGCCACTGAATTGCCTCTGTCCCGAGTTATATCGCGCCGCGATATTCCGCGCGGCTAAACGAGATCGCTGACAGCGCGTTTTTAACACGCGTCGCGCAACGTGAGAAATGCGGCACGCACAATTCGCACGAGCTTCGCGATTCGATGCACAGGAATTTACGCGACGTACGCCACGATATTTCTCGCGCGTAATATTTCATACCTTTCATGCAAAGAGAATGTCGGGCGAGCTTTACGTCGGGGGAAGTAAAACTCGCTTTATAAAATGAAGACTCAGGAGTTGGGTTCCTATTTGCTTTATTTGCCGGCGACGGGAACTTAAGCGATATATATGTTTGGCAGAGCTGCCTGAGCGCTGCTAAAAAGACAGACAGCTGGAGGAAATACTTTTAAGTTCTATTTTTATCGGGATGTCCGAGAAGTACTGATAGCTGTACCTGGTATCCGACTTTTTATAGAGACATCAATAGAAACATATTCCCAGAATAAAATTTCTGAATAAAATAATCTATACGTCAACCGTTGTTTGACATACTTCCAATATTAAGTGTCCTACGTAGGCGGTTATATTTTTTGAGGGCCTAATCGGACATATCGGAAAGATCGGAAATGCCGATACCGCGAGCGGGTCGCATGTATTATTCGCAAAGTTCTCCGAAGTTGTCCGGCTTCGATCTGGATTCTATTGTAAAACACCGCGCGAAATATCCTGCATTCGTACAAGTCGCGAACAAAATGGACAGGGAATAATGTACGTTGTCTATATTTTTACGAGCTCCCAGCACGACAATATAAATATCGTGTACTGGAAAAATCGTATATTTTGTGCTCAACAATATATTCTCGTCTCGTCTCTCTCTCTCTCT